CCTCTTGTTGTCCACTCGTATTTTTAATACTGATAATACGGCCGGCTCTTATGCATGCTCAGACGTCTAAAAAACACGCTTGTTATGTCTCCAGTATGCATGTTGCACTTCTTTCGCAACCGCACAGAGCCAACCATGCTGACCGCAGGTGCGGCAAGCCACGCGGTGGGGTGAGAGTCGAAGATCCGTGGCGTAGGCCTTGGTGAGATGTTGACTACCTCGCCAGGTATACAGGGGGTCGTGGATTAGATCCCGACCCTGACACCTGCTGTATATTTGGAGTTTGCGTTTCTCTCTCTCTCATCATGGTGGCGAGGAGATGTTAACTCCCTCGCCAGGTATATAGGAGATCGTGAATAAGATCCCGACCCTGAAACTTGCTGTATATTTGGAGTTTGCATGCCTCTCTCTCCCCGTGGTCACGTGGGATTTTTATCCGGGTCCTCCCGGTTTTCCCTCCACGTTCAGAAACACGCGTTGAGATTATTTGGCTGATATAAAAACTCACACGGTAAGCAACTTAATTGAACTATCACTTGTGGTGGCCAGGTCGCTTCTGAAAAAGAGCTATATAGCTCAATGGGTCTTTTCAGATAAAAAAAACTAAACATTGTTTCGTTCATAGTTTTAAATAGTTTCTTATTGAGAGCGGGACACAGCGATCACCGAGTACACATGTGTGGGGCTGTGCTGCAGCGATGGCGATGATGCGGAGCCGCCCATCCTCAACAACTTGACCTCTGACCGGTGTGAAGTGTGAAGGTCAAACAAACCTCCTTATCTTCTTGGTCCTTTCGGTAAAGTCACGTAGAAGGGAAATAATAAAATAATAAAAATTAAACATAATAAAATACAATTCTCACGACGTTTCGGCCACAACGCAAGCAGCCGTTCTCAGGTGAAGACCAGGTCTGTCGGAAAGACGGCGTCTGAATCTGCATCGGCATTGGACGCTGTCTCCCCGACAGACCTGGTCTGAATGACGCTGTCTCCCCGACAGACCTGGTCTTCACCTGATGACGGCTGCTTGCGTTGTGGCCGAAACGTCGTGATAATTATTTTATTGTTTTATTTTTATTACTTTATAATTTCCCTTCTACGTGACTTTACCGAAAGAACCAAGAAGATGAATCCCTGCAGTCACGAAAGAAGCTTTAAATCGAAATTTAAACCTCCTCATGATCGACACAGCACAGGGGGAGGGGTTCATCCAGCAGTGGATTGGCATAGGGCCGTGCAATTTAATTGTGACTATGTGTGTAGACATCACGACGGGCTCCTGTTGCTTTTACACGTAAGTCTGACTACTGCTTGAGGTTGTAAAAAGGAAGCGGCATGAACGTATTTTTGTATTTTCAAGGCGATGTAATCTGATCACTGGAGCACGCGATGATTACTTGTTCCAAATCACATCAATTATGCTGATTTAAACTTGGATAGGGCAGCACTGCGATTGCTGGTCGTGTATAGCGTGAACTCTGAGCGGTTTCTGCTGCTGCCTGAACCCACCAAATAAAATGTCCAGTGTTTTTTATTACAATCGTTTCATTGTTTAAATGATAGGACAGTAGGCACACTCGCGTGATCAACCTGCGATTAGCCCAGCATCAGAAAGGCGACGGCGCGCTGCGAATGGCACTGCGTCTGCGTCTCCTTGCGGTGGCGCTCCACAGCTGCCCAATGCGATGTCGGGTCGTCCCGTGCGTTGTTTGACACGATTGTCCGACGTTTCACTCCACGTGCTAAAGGTGGGGAGGGGGGGGAGCTTCTTCAGGAACGGCTGGATTAATGAATAATCCAGGCCTAGCAGAACCGTGCTGTTAGACAATCCCATCGACTGCAATGGGTTGCGCGTGACATCTTTCTCCCCAACAATGATTGGCGTACTCGAACCGACGCAGATGCCCCCGCTCCCTCCACCGACCGACAGAGGAATTCCTCCTTCTCGTATGCCGGGAGGTGGGATGATGGATTTATGAGTGTGGGAGTCGGTTCACGATTGCAGATGCACGCAGCGAAGTAGACTTGAAGAGGACGTCCCTAAGGCACGGCAGTTCTTCACCCAAACACGTGTTCCCATCCGACCCTAACCCTTTCCTCCCACGGTCCCCACGTGGTGCTCTCATCCAGGAGAATGCCAGCACGTGACCTCGGCCCGCCACTGTGTTACAAGCAGCACGTGTTGGGAATGGCAATTAGAGAACCAGACAGTGCTGTCCTCACATGGAAATATTAATAAATAAGACGCTGCCAAGTGATGGATGAGGTGGGCAGTGTCACTCGGGCCTGCGGAATACGTATTATTCAACAGTTGGGCGTTTTTTTTATATGTCGACACGAGCCTGGAAAATGTTTCGTTAAGAGGGAATCATTTAAAAGGAGATGCAATTACTTTCTTTCCACCGACGATAATTGATACGTGGACATTTAAGTAATCGTATGAGCTCATTGTTGCGAATGAGCTTCGGTTTAAATATAGATGATGTGCAAATTCGGAGACGCGTTTATTTTTTTAATATCAACGAAGCCTTATTCCAACTGAAAGGGGCAAAGGTACTTCGCCAATACTGCCGAGATCCTGAGTTCTAACTCCGATAGCCAACTCTGATGCCACGAGAATATCGAGTGTATAGTCTCTGGCAACAAAACAGGTGTTACGATGTTAAAACACCAAACTGAAACCTTTTACAAGGAATCATGTCTGCATTAACCACAATACTTGTGGTCAGAATGCAAACAAAACACATACTCCGATAATATATGCAGTTTTTGAAACGAATTAGTCCACAAAAGAGACAGCTTTTTTTGGAGCCTAGTCTCAAAAGGTGTTAGACCAGAGGACGCCAAAAGGCGTACAGCACAAAGACAACGCACTATCGTGTCGATGTTTAGTTGACTCTGTGTATGGGTCAAAAGGGTCACTTGATGGGACCTCAGAAGTAGTTCTATGGTGACTTCTTCCACAGGGCCCGGGGTGACCCTGTGCTTTATGAGAGTTCGGAATGGACACTTCACGTCGTGACGTGACACCGCTGGTGCAATTAGAACAGCGTTGTGCAAAACAAGACAAACACATGGAGGTATAATGATTGGAACATCACACACAAGCGTTGTTGTTGTTGTGTCAAGTGTGCGTCAGTTACATTGTGGGAGAACGTGCAACCCATGCCATGGAATTGCCTTGATATATCTGCATGCATTCCAATGTGTTTTTTTAAAATCAACCTTTCACAATACAAAGCTCCATATGCACGTGAAAAATCGCATTAGTTTCTGCTTATAACGGGGTCATTAAAACAGGTTTGTCCGTGTATGTACATACAATCTCAGACATTCTGATAGGAAAACCATTAATTCTAATGGTGTCATCTCTGAATTAAGAAATGGAAAAACCGATTAAAATCATGCATTTGCAGACGTGGCAAATATTGTGTGGCGAATATTAAGTTTTTCATCATCAAGTTTCAAGAAACCCGAATGTGAACTTTAATCAATGAAAAAGAATTGAATGCTCCAGAACAAATAAGATCACTTGCGTGCCTATTTGTATTAAAACCCAAACTGTTATTACAACACACGACATGAATATTGCATTGTGAAGCGAGGGGATTAAAAACAAGTCTGAGGCTGTAGTTTACAAGAGAAAATGTGTAAACTTGGTAAACATTCCAACGAAAAGCACAACAAACATTTGCTCACATATGAAATATGGTTACAAAAAAACTGGCATGACGTTCATAAAAAAACAACTTTGTGTTGAAGATGACTATGCAAGATGGTGGATGGCCTACACGCATTGTCTAAAAGTGCATTGTGAAAGTTTCATCAACGTACTCTGAGGTAACATGTTCGAGCATGAAGCGTGTTCTTAATGTGTCACATGGGCAGCGTAAAACAACAATTAACTTATGTACAAGACAACCAAAAGTATAAATGTGCTTTCGTTTCAGATGATATAAAAACAAACAGCTGGGAGTAGACCCACTTGTTCAGAGGTCAGAGCAATCAACTGGCATCTCTGAGAACCTCGGTTTAAACCTGGTCAGGCACCCACAACTGAACCGGCTGGTCAGGTGTGGTGAGTCCATGGTCTCAGCTCAGTCGCCAGCGATGGCAAAATAAAAATACTTTCCGTCTTAAACTTTCACCGGTGGAACTCCAGCTGAGAACGAAATTCGGCGTAAGCGTCACGTGACCTTCTCAGGGCAGAGTGTGGGGGAGAGTGCCGGCCATGCTGTCGATGGGGGAGGGGGTCACTTGAAGATCATTTCCCCAACACGTAGGGCGCCTCTTGCCTGTAAGGTCTCAAAATGGATTATCTGTCCCATGACATTGCTGGTGATAGCGCAATTGGAATACATTGGGGGGCGGGGGGGGGGGGACCAAAACATGATTGAAGTTTTGAACAAAAACCAAATGGCTCACAGGTCATAGGTTGATTTTATACATCTCATTTATTCCTCTAATGCGGTGATTGCAGCCACTGACAGAGATAATTATATTTAGTTTGGTTGTTAACAACACTGCCACACGCAATTGCTTTTTCTTGAAAATTGTTGTGACAGGGTCTAGGACTACGGTTGCCACCTGTCCTTGTTTTCCCTTCACTGTCCTCTTGTTGTGCTGTGGTTGTGAAATCTGTAAATCTTCCTGGAACATTGAAAGTCCTTGCTGATGTCGGCACAGTCATATTACACTGCTAAGTCAATTAATTTACATGTAACTCCCCTCTCTGCCAGAAGATATTGAGACATATTCTTCCCATGATATGTCATGAATGTGCGCAGATGTGTTGGGTTGATGCCGCGTGTTGTTTGGCACAATGTCCGACGCTTCGATCCAAGTGCTGGGAGCTTCTTCAGGAACTGAATAGTGAAAGTGAATTGAAGCTCCTAGCTCCTGGGAGCGAAACGTCGGGCATGCGATACAACCCGTGAGTGCTGCAGGCCAGAAGCAAAAAAGAGAAACACCCACACATCTTTCTTTATTCCTATTTTTGTTTTAATATACAGTCAGCACCCCGAGACAATCAGTGCACTTATTTTAAGACTGGCACGTAAAGACGAGGCCGTCAAATAAGCTCAGCGTTGGGTCAGCGCAGTCGTTCCCAACGCGGTTTGACCGCCCTCCGCGTACAATGTGCGTTCAATGAAACGTTCTTTTATTTGGCGACGATCATCGGTGTTGTTGATTGGTGGCTTTTTCTTTTCTCTCTCTCTCTCTTCTGACGCAGATTTTTCAAATCTCCCGTTCGTAACACCGGCAATGACCTCTGCTTCAGTGGACAATGTCACAGGGTGTTTAACATCCTCAACCCCCCCAACCCCCACCCGCCGCGGTTCACAGAAGACGACGTGCTTCGGTAATGCCCCGCCGATGTCACCGGACGGTCCTCGCGGGGATCGAACCCTCGGACGCCGTGCACACCGGCTCAGTGGCGAGCACACTGACCACTAGGCCTCCTGTAGGTGTGTGCGTGTGTCTCTTTATACCGTACATACACTCGCACGCACGGCAATAGACAGTATCAACCAAGGCCGTAATTATAATAGAAAATGGGGGGGACACATCCCCCCCCAAATATTCAAATATGTTCAAAATGTCCCCCCCAATATATTGCTATAAAATAGATTTCTGTTTATATGATTGTGGTTATGGTTGTATTTTATCAATCCCTAATCTCTGCCATTACATACAATTAAACAAGAAAAGGTAAAAAAGAAAAAAACAGAGCAATGTAATAAATACAATACACTATTAGACATTATTGTAAAAAATAAATAAAAAGTCTATCCTATGTGTTCGTGAATTGGTTTTATATTTTAGGCAGGAAATTAGTTTTCAAATTTAGATTTTTTTTCTGGGGGGGGGGGGGGGGAAGACCCCCAGACCCCCTGGAAGATTTGGTCCCCCCCAATGTTGACTCCATGGCTACAGCCTTGGTATAAACACAGACAGACAAAGATCCCTTGTGGAGCCTTGACAGGCGGACTACGAAGGCCGGCACGGCACACGAGGGTATTGGTGGCCAACACCATGCCCCAGGCCGTCTTTGTCTCTCCCCAGTGGTAATGTTTAACACACCGCACCGGGTACTCATTTGAGGCTGAGTCGACCTAGAGGAGGCCCACGACCGGTTCAGATAACCGGTGTTGGTGGTGGCCGTGAGCGGGAATCGAACTCGGGTCTTCGCCGCCGGGTTCGTAGCGCCAACCGTTGCGCCACCGCTCCCCGCAGAGACAGACAGACGTACGTACATATGTACACCTACATACAAATTTACACGCCGACATATACATTACGTACAAATATAAATGGTGCCAAAGGTTGTTTCACGAGCGGTCCCCGTGAGGCCCGCGGACGTGCGCCGCCGGTGCCCCTATCAGGGGGCCCAGGGCGGCCTACGGGGCCACGGCGGAGCCGCTCCGGGCGGCGCCGGGCCCCGCTCGGCTCGCGGTGCCCAGGTTGGTGAGCGCCATGGCCGCGTGCAGCTCGCTCCAGTAGCTGGACGGGTCGCCGGGCCCTCGCTTCTGTCCACTGTGGGTGAGCAGTTGTGGGTGTGTGCGTGTGTGTGTGAGTGTGTGTGAGTGAGTGTGTGAGTGAGTGTGTGTGAGTGTGTGCGTGTGAGTGTGTGTGAGTGTGTGTGTGAGTGTGTGTGATTGAGTGTGTGCGTGTGTGCGTGTGTGTGAGTGTGCGTGTGAGTGTGTGTGCGTGTGTGTGTGGGTGTGAGTGTGTGAGTGTGTGTGTGTGGGTGTGTGCGTGTGAGTGCGTACGTGTGAGAGTGCGTGCGCGAGTGGGCAGGTAGGAGTACGAGCGGGTGTACGGCGTGCGGAGGGGCGGGTGGGTTTGTGCAGCGGGTGGGTGTATGAGTGGGATGGTGGTCGGGCATGTGGACAGGTGGGTAGGTGAGTGGGTGGTTGTATGATTGGGTTGGTATGTGGGTAGGAACGTGCACGTGTTGGCGTGTAGGTGGGTGGGTGGAATTGTGTGTATTGATTGTTTCATTGTTGGTGTTGTTTGGATTTGTGGAATGTGTGCGTGTGGGGTGTGAATTTTAGTGTGTTGACGTGCGAGTGTGTGAATGCGTGTGCGAGTGTTGGTGAATGGATGGGTGGGCAAGTTGGTGGGTGAGAGGAATGGGAGTGGGCAAAAGGTAAAACACACAGATGCAGGAAACCATGTTCATCATTTGCCATGATCTCCATGCGTCTGTAGGGTGACGTCTCGGCACACAGCTTCATCTATTTCGAACCATTAAAGTGTGTAATGGGGAGCAGACCAGCACCACAGTAGCGAGGATGCTAAACCGCTGACCCTGTGACCTGCCTTCGAACTACCGGCCAAGGTTAACGTCAGTGGCGAGTGAAGCGGACCTGGGTCTACTCTTCACCAACCCACACTGACCATCACGGTGAAGTACGGAGAATCATCCATGCACTACTAAATTGACACTTCTGGGATGTATTATTGCGTGTAAAGGCAACGCTCCCTGGCCTGGCACCGTTACTCGAGCATTTGGAAGACAATTGGAAGGTTGTAGATTTAAAACCGGGTCAGCTCATCATTCTTCTGAGGCCTAAAAAATGAGTACCACATTTAGGAAAGTCAACGGTGGCCATCCCATAAAAATTCTGGCATCTGCCATGGGAATGTGAATATTTGCCACTGGATCAAGGCAACTCATAGTCACGAGCAGCATCCAATCACTCGTTTGAGAATGGAGAAATTGTGGCTTTGTCACGTACACGCACGCGACGGCGTTCATGTTTGCAACAAATGCGTAACTTCATTGCGCATGTTTACGTACATTCACAATACACGGACCATCAGTAAAAATTATATGCAATTTCCACAAATTATACGCAGATACACAGTTTTAGTGCAAGCACAGCCAAATGGGATTTACCCAAATATATGACAAATGCTTACCGGCAAAATCATTAAGTTAGTTTTTCCCTCTCGGGGTCATTATAATTCCATTGTTTTTCAAGCTTTTAAAGTATGCCAATATGGCAACGAGATATATAGTCTTACTTCTTGTAAAGGATAAATAAACTAAACCCTGCGATCTTTGAGAGCCGAGAATTTATTTATTTTGTCGTTGGCCTCATATCACATTTGTTATTTTGTTAATTTAGTTTTCACTTTAACACAATCCATTCAAGGGCTATTGTGTAAATCGTCTGCCAGCAGCAGTGCGGGGACATTTTATTCCAATGTATCTGAACATTGCACGTTTAATTGATACCCCACATGGAAATCAAAGTATGAATGTACGTGGCCAGCCAGTCCTGGATTCATGGTGCTTGAAAAACAACTTGAAGTTTTGTGGATCAACTCAATCCATTATCCTCCTGGGATCAGTCAAATGAGTGTTACTTTTGAGGGAAAGAAGAGTGATTAGAGGACGGACAAATTGGCCACTGGTATTGTAATGTGGAATTTCCATTACTGACCACCAATCAAAATAAATGCCAACTCGAGTGAGCACACAGCCTCATTGACTTTGTATAAAATAATGATGCCAACACTGACAAAAGAAAAATGAAACTAAAATAGACCACTTCGTTTTACATACACGCACCTCTGTTGGCTGCGTTAAACAAACTTTCACAGGAAGTTTAGGCGACTATCATTAGATAGGTGTCAGTCACGCGTAGTGGCAGGTTCATGGTCGTGAGTAGAATTCGCCCTGTGCATGCTCATAATAACGCATTTGCCACCATAGTGTCAAACCCTGGGGTGCAAGTGGTACAAGAATATTTAATTACCTTAAAGAATTCTGCTCCAGAATTTTGGCTGCACCTTGAAAAAGGAAAACAATGCCATGGCATGGTAAGGTGCGCAGAACGAGTGAAGAATTCCGTTTTAAGAGGATGCCAGTAAATTGACCAAAATGCTGAATATGAAATGTTTAACAATAATGAGAGCAGTGTTCTTGTGTGCGTGGTTTAAATAGAAATCATACCATGTGGGTGCACACATTTTATTTTAATACATATTCTTCAAAGAGGTGAAACATATTTAACGTTCTTTATAAGATAAAATTGCACTTCATTATCTGATTTTAGCTGGGCAATTATCCTCTCGCCAAAGTTTCTCCATCCTCGATGGAGCAAGCGACAGTAGCTCTTGTCTTTAAGTGCCTCTGAACCGGTGACGAACATCCACATTACTCTGGCAGAAGCGAGTTCATTCATAGCAAATCTCCACGTGACTTCCACAAAGTGGCACTTCGCCCCCCCCCCTATAATGAGATACACAACTGACATTTGAAACTGTAAAAAAAGAGTAGCCGATTGCCATTCGAGAGATCTAACCACAGCACCACTCGGCCGTATAAACGTACCGAGTATTTGATAGCTGCGTGTTATTCTCAGGTCCGAGAATTTCAATGAACGACAGTACACAAGCCCACGTACTGCCGAGCCGCTGGTTCTCGTCCCTTGCTCACCACCTGACGTACACGAAAACTATTGACAGTCTCAGCTTGGTGAGGTTTGATTCCGCGCAAAAATAAATCATAAAACAGCGGTTCTCCTATCGAGAAACGTGCATCAGTCATAGAAACGTGGAAATGTCGCTGTCGGTTTAGGGCCACCAGTGGAGATGAAAACTGTCCACTCAACTGTTGACTTTGAATTCCAGACACCTGTCAATTGTAAGCTCTCACCTGCAATCCTCCATCGAGCTTTCAGACTGACAACAGATTTGTGTTTATAGGCAGTGCTTAATTGCAGCCATAACGTACTGTATGTGTGAATTTCTTTCGCACCGTACGTAGCCATCCACACTAATCAGAAGTGCGGGGGGGGGGGACAACAGACTAAACACAAAAAGCAGCACTAAAGAAATGAATTTTCAATCTCGATTTACAAATGCATAGCTCCAGTGGCTTCCTAATGTCGTAAGAAAGACCGTTCCAGACGGCCACAGAAGCGCATCTGAAAGCGCCGCGCGATGCGGTGACCGGAGTTCGCGTGATGCTTTATACTCCCTGGCGAGATCAGCGAGGTATCGTTGTTCATTTGTGGCAATCACTTTGCGTGTTGTGAGCTTCGACCTCATGACAGCTTGGCAACACTGTTCTGACCATTACATTGGCACCCCACATCCATCTCGTGACACGTAGTTTGTCTTCATAGCCTCACAAAAATATACGGCTTCAAATCTAGAAAAAAATATATACGGGACAATATCGCAGACTACGAATCGGTGTATTTTGCACTCTCGCAGCAGTGCCATACACCCGCAAATCCCTCCTGCACACTGAACCAACATATCGCTTGGGAAGTGAATTTACCTCCTACGCATTTCACAAATAGTACTAATCGCATATCTGCATTTCCCATAAATATGCTAAATTAATCTTGATATGCAAATTATTTTGTCAAGGCGATCTTCGCCCCCTCCATCCCAGCTTAAATAGTAGCTCCAAGCCTGGGGCTTGTCATTCAGACTGTCTCTTCGACAGACCTGTTCTACACCTGAGCACGGCTGCTTGCGTGGTGGCCGAAACGTGGTGAGAATTATTTTATTATGTTTTATTTTTATAATTTTATTATTTCAATTCTACGTGACTTGACCGAAAGAACCAAGAAGATGAATCCCTGCAGTCACGAAAGCTTTAAATCGAAATTTGAATCGAAATTTAAGTGAATTTAGGTAACGGAGGGAGGTGTGGTGTAGGGGGGGGGTGGGGGTGGTGCCATCGTCATGAGCCGTATGTTGATGCCGCTGTTGGAGCGCGGGGCAGCCGCGTGCATTACCGGCGGCCGGTGCTTGCTGCCTCCTCTCCGACTCGCTGGACACGGGCGACAGGGATCCGTCCTCGTAGCACGCCGAGCTCAGCGACGCCGGGTGACTGCTCCGACGGGCCTCGCGCTGATGGCGCAGCACGCCCTGCTGGTGGTGCCCGCTGGCGCCGTTGCTCCCGACGATGTTGATGATGTTGTTGTTGTTGTTGATGCTGATGCCGCTGCTGCTACTGTTGTGACTGTGAAGCAGGTGGTGGTGATGGTGGTGATTGTGGTGCAGCTGATGCTGCTGGTGCTGCTGCTGCTGCTGCTGATTATGGTGATGGAGGTGCTGCGCGTGGTGGTGGAGGTGGTGGTGGTGCTGCGCGTGGTGATGGTGGTGGTGGTTGTTGTGGTGCGCTCCCCCGGGTCCCTCCTGCACCGCCGCCGCCACCACCGCCGTCGCCGCAGCGCCGCGCCCTGCGAGCGCGTGCTTGCACGAGTCCCTCAGGTAGCGGTGCAGGAGGCTGTTCTTGTACTTGCGAGGGAAGGCGCGGTCCTGCCCTTGGCGGCTCACGTTCTCCACCGTCAGGCTCGAGTCCTCCGCGTCCTTGCGCCTCGCCTCGTCCTCGTTGTCCTCCGTGCAGAGGACCTCGCCGTCTGAAACCGGCGAGGGCGTTAGGCCGTGCGTGGAACGACTCCGTGTTGAGAGGTGACGCCGTTCTTATCTCCGCCCCCCCCCCTCCCGAATTCAAATCCAAATCAGGACGATCACCAGACTCTTACTATGGTTTTAAACGGTTCTTTCAAACTTGTAAAAACTAACTGACTTGTAAACCGGAGTAAAACAAATATAATGCCTCTCTGCTCAAACCTCCATTGGTGGACCTGAGTCAGCAGTTGAAATTCCAAATTACTCTGAATTCAAATCCGAATAAATATAACAGACATTCCAACTAATCCACTCTCGTTTATATCTTGTCAGCATCTCTCCTCTCTGCAACGCTCAGCTACATCGCATGTCACTTCTTCGCCCACGTTTGCCCACACTTCACTCATCAGGCGACATCTACATGTCTAGTTCTACATCTCTTCTCTCAACTCACTCGTAAATTAAAAGGAGGGTCCCCTAAATAATTCTACTTGGGTAGGTTTAAATGAAAACGTAATACCAAGCTCAAAGGTCAGAATCTGTATTCATACTGGAGGGATCCGACGAGCTATGAAGCTCTTTTCACAGATGCCAAGTAGGGGCGGGTCAGAAAGTCCAGAAGTGGAGGGTCAGCAAGTTGGGCAGCGTGCAGAGCTCCTCTACCTGGGCACGAGCTGCGTCTCCAGGCGGTGCCAGGTTTAGATCCGTGCTGGAACATTGCTTGGCGCGATCCAGACTAAGCTTGCTACTTTCGGTAGGTTCAGTTGTGGGTTTTGCCTGTCTTCTATATTCAGAATGTTATATATTTGTGATTTATAACAAGCAATCTAAATAACAAACCAAACTGTAAATGGGCTTCATTTGGTCTTCGTTTTGTTAAGAAAACTGATATAACGGTACTGGGTCAGCCCACCTCTGAATCATCAAGATATTTCGATGACCCCACGTTACTTTAGACGGTTGAAGGGTCATCGGACTGGTTATAAATGTGAACATTGTATGGATATGTTTTAAAAGACGAAGCAAACTAAATTAAATGAAAATAGAGGCTGTTATACGGGAAACAAATCATATTCTTGGTTCTTTGGTAAAGTCACGTAGAAGGGAATCAATAAAATAATAAAAATATAAAACAATAACATTCTCACGACGTTTCGACTGCAACACAAGCAATCATCATCAGATGTGTACCTCGCACGGGTTTAAAACCTTTGCCTAAATACCAAAAACAAGACTGGAAAGTTACAGCCACGTGACTTTCAGGCGCATCACTACGGTGCCCTCTAGCGGCATCACCGCCACCCTGGAGCTCTTGTCAGCTGTGATCACGGCGGAGGAGGGATGAATGCGACGCAGGCTGGATCATAGCACAGGGCAGGCAGTGGTGCATGGTCGGGCCCAATCCATGTCTAAACTGAACTATTTATTTGATTTTACACCAGGTAAGGCCCACTGAGCTATGTAGCGCTTTTTCAGGAGCGACCTGACCACAAATGATAGCTCAACGAAGTAGCTTATCGTGTGGAAATGTATAGCAGTCAAATATTCTAAATGTGGGTGGAAAAACCAGAGGACCTGGAGAAAAATCCACGCGACCACGGGGAGAGAGACATGCAAATTCCAAATATATGGCAGGCGTCAGGGTCGGGATCGAACCCACGATCTCCTGCATGCCAGGCGAGGTAGTTAACATCTCTGCATCACATTATAGGGCAGGCAGTAGTGCATGGTAGGGGCCCACCTCTTGTCCAACCTCGACAGCCCAGCTGCAATAAAATGCTGCGGCCTATAACCTTTTGGTGCTAGATGAGTGTTTTATGTATTTATTTGATGTGTTTGTTTTACAAAAGCAGACGTAATTGTTCACATTGTTGTAGATTGATATTGTTGTTGTAATGTAATACAAACAAACTTTCCGTATATATATTTTTGGATTGCGTATTTCTTACAACAGTGAGACGCTATATATAGACTAGTGTTGGCAGCCAAGTTGTGACTCAAGCACACGGCGAATCTGTATACTCCGCTCGTGTTGTAACGCATTGTGTCAAGTGTGATGGCATGTGCTACAGATAGCCAAATACTATGCTTGCAAACTGCACGTAGGGTGAGTGCGAGCAAATGATGTGCTATGTGAGTTTACTTTTGGGAGACGGTGTTCATTTAGGACATGGTGTGGGTGTTTTCTCTCTGCACCACAGCAGATCCAGATGTGGTGGCACACATGCAGGGCTTTGCAGGCGGGGGAGGCGTTATCACGCATTGTTGTTATGTGTGAGACACCGACCGACAGGGCTGTACAGCAAGTAGGTTGTCAACCCATTTGTACAGATTTTTTTGGTATGTCATAACTTCGATTGAATTATGATTGTTGTGAGTTCAAGTCCCAATCGAGGTCGACTCAGGCAACCATCCCTTCAAGGTCAATAACTTTGGTATCACTGTGGGAATGTGATATTGGAGTAGATCCTGGCCCCAGCACTAGTACTGTGGACTTTCCACCACTTGCTCAGGGCTGCCAAACCAAGATAAGTGACTGTGGGACCTTCCACCACCTATACCCTGTAGAAAGTGTATCCATGTACGTACAAACTGTTTTATCGCAAATAATCGATTTTTAGCAAAATAGAAATCGGCGAATTAAGAGGTTTGACTGTATTAATATAGCACGTGACGTTGCCAGTATAGATCGTTGTACGCAGTGCTTGTGCCCCAGCGTAGTGGAGAAGGCACAAGATGCGTCAATGTTGAATTCACACGAGCATCACTCTGCAACGACCATGCGCAATTTAGCGCCGGACCGCGGGGGGACAAAAGTCTAAACAAATCAAGACTCAACGTGCAACTGGCTGCCATGAAAAACAAAGACGTTTGTTTAAACTCAAATAAATCTGGCAGGGAGGGATTCACACCAATGGTAATATTTTGTAATGCAAAGTCAGCATGTGTATGGACTCGGGACAATCACCAGACCCTTACTATGGTTCGAAACAGTAGTTTCAAACTTGTAAAAACGATCTGATTTGTAAACCGCAAACCGGCGTAAAAAAATTATGTCTCTGCACAAACCTCCATTTGGTGCACCTGAGTCAGCAGTGGACATTCCACATTACTCTGGCAGCAAGAAGACGACTGGTGACTCGATGGACCGAGTCTCCCTCTGACTGGGATTGGAAGGCACACTCGTGTGATTGTGAGCCGAAGCAACAGCGTCACACAGCGAGGATACTTCATCCAAATAATAAAGATGAACCTCGCTACGTGCACAGACAGAACACGTGCACGTTTCTTGAGCTACGAGGTGGATCTGGGAACATGTGACCGCATCAAGTGAATGTGCGTGTGGACACACACACACACACACCTCGCCAGTGATGATGTCGTCATTCTATTCGTAGAGTGACAGACACGTGCCTTTCAGTGTCGTCATCACTTAATGATGTTCACATCGACAATGCGATCTGGCGACTGAAAAGATGGGTGTAAGATGCCTCTCTTTGCGTATGTTTGTAGGCATTCTATGTTTGTAGGCATACTATGTTTGTAGGCATACTATGTTTTCGATCAAATTATTTTTAAGTACCACCGAATTAAAGGGGCTGTTCTGAATGGTATGCATTTAAGCAGCGTATGCAGTTGTGCTGTATACAATTAAGTGGAAGCGACTGTACTTTCCGTAAATGAATATATTCCATCTTCTCTGAATGAGGGTCATTCTCAGCGCAATGCTCGCCAATCCGCATTTGTTATGAGCAAAACAAAAATGAAGCAAGACGGTAAATGTGTCTTCGCGATGTAAGATGAGTTAGTGGCCGTGTTTATTTATACTGGCAACTGCTAGCCCAGTGGTGGAAATTTCCACCTTTTCATGGAGGGGCACAGTTAAGCAGTTAACCACTTATGGATGGATGCATCCTGGATGGATAATGGGCTGAGCTGATCCCTGGCCAGGCAGTAACATTATCCTAAGACGACTCCGTGTTAATGTCTTAAAACGCAGTGTTAACTGTATCAATACTTCGTGTTAATGTCTTAAAACACAGTGTTAATGTTTTATGACTCAGTGTTAATGCCTTAAGACTCGGTGTTAATGTCTTAAGACTCAGTGTTAATATAGTATAACAGTGTTAATCACAGCACGATGTCTTTAGTTCATGAAGAAGTTCCCAGCACTCAGAGAGAAATGTTCCGTTTGTTCAAACTGCAGAGGGAATTTCTCCCGTGTTGATCAGAAATTACCTCCGGGTGTTCACAAGGTTCCATTACTGGTCCGAATCCGTTCTCCCTGGAAACCTCTGGGGTGATGCTGCTCGAAGGTGTAGGATACACTTCCACTGAATCCGGGGAACATCTGACTCGCGAGCTTGCTGACATCGTAAACGCTGATGTCAAATGTCTTTTTGATGTCACATTCTGATATAAAAAAAAAACTGAGACGATGCTTTTGAGACCTCAGAACCAACGAAATAAATCTGTCTCAATGAGCCCTCGGCGATTTCCACCCCCCACCATCCTCAGCGTGACGCTGAGAACTGTTTGTGTTATTTTCGATCAAGAACTTTCCTTTGGGCAACATATCAGGAACGTCCCGAAGGCATCTTATTTTTCACCTTACGGAATATTGCTAAACTTAGATTATTTTCTATCCGATGCAGAGAGATTTATGCACAGTTTCATAACACATCTAGTGTTGATTACTGCAATGTGCTATTCTCTGGTATTTTTAGTCTTGCTACCTCTCCACTAGAGTGTCGACAAAGCGCTGCTCTCAGAGTTTGAACAAGAACCAAGGGTATCCTAAGGCCCTGATCTTGACTTCCAAATGTCTCCAACGACCGTGGGTTCCTCGTACGCAAGTTAACCGCTGACCTCTCAGGCCAATGGCGAGATGTTAACTACCTCGCCTTATGTGCTGGAGTATCGGGGATTCGATCCCGACCCTGACGCCTGCTGCTGTATATTTGGAGTTTACGTCTCTCTCCCCGTGGTCGCGTGGATTTTTTTTCATCCGGGTCCTCCAATTTTTCCCTACACGTTTAGAAACACGCGTTTAGACTATTTAGATTATTTTGCTGCTATAAATGTCCAAATTCTAAGCCAGTTTTTTTTAGCTCTTAATTTGTGGCCAGGTCGCTTTTGAAAAATAAGCTAATACCTCAGTCGGCTTTGGTAGGATGGGGATGGTTTAGTATTGTATTGTGTATGTGTCTGGGTGATTTTCTTTACCTTTCTTTTACTTTGCACTCGTATCGTGTCTGTGTTTGTTGTTGTTGTAACGTTCTTACCCACCCGACTGGACGTCTGTGTAAAAAGAGCTTTATAGCTGATCGGATTCCTCCAGTAGAAATACAGATTCTGATTCGTAGGATGTAGCTCTGCTCAATATCCCAGTGATGCAGCGGGACAATGCCGGTGTAGCAGAGCAATCAGCCTACAAAGAGCTCGGTACAATGTGGACTGAGCTACCACAATCTGGAAGGGAACGTTATCTCTCTTTGTACTTTTGAAGTAATATTGAAAACATGTTTCATGATATAGCGTTCCACAATCTGATACCTTGCGGCGATCCGCTCGCGAAAGGCGCTGTGCGATATAACGGTTGGTTGACTGATCGTGCCAACCAACCGCGCGGCACAACGCGAGGTCACGTCGGAGATCTGTGCCGCACAACCAAACAAACGACTGCAGTGGTGGTCAGATAGCCCTTGAAGTGCTCCGTGTATGCCACGAGACATTGTCCACCTGCCAGAATGGTAACGCTATATGCAAGGTAATGGTGGTTGATGTTGTCGATGCTGCCACACATCACCACCAGCACACGATTCCCCGACTGCTGCAACGGACCGACAAGCCCTGCTCTTAGTGTCCCACCGTCTGGCTTGAGGTCAATCTCCCTTTGGTGGCTGACCTCTGCTTGCCACTCCGAATGCCTGTCTCTGTAACCCGCCCTCGTCTATTCTGCACACGTGTCCTGCCCATCATCACAAACTCCTCTTTCCGATTAAGTCTAAACTGCTCTGTTGTTTTCACTCATTTCAGACTGGTCTCTCCTTCCACGAAATCCCTAATATTCTCCACGTTCACCTTCAGTGAAAAGGCAGATTACGATGTTCTAACAATGTACTCTGCTGAATTTAATCGCGTGAAACTATTTTAAGTGGGACTTTCCAATTCGCATGTCATTCGAAGCGGCGTAATTTCCACGTGTTTCTGGGCCAGGTGAAAATGTGTCAGAGGACGTCAAAATACGGTGATGCCAAAACGGCAGTGGGGAGTCGGCAGTGGTGTGGGTTTGTTGGGATGTGGTGGTAGTGGTGGTAGTGGTGGTAGTGGTGGTGGGGGGGGGGGGCAGAATAACGGGGAGCGCAATGCGCTACGAACCCGGCTACCCGAGTTCGATTCCCGCTCACGGCTAACACCAGTGACGATTATCTGAATCGGTACTGGGCCTCTCCTAGGTCGACTCAGCCTCAAACGAGTACCTGGTGCAATGTGTGAACATCGCCGCTAGGGAGACAAAGGCGTCCGGGCGTGGTGCTGGCCACCCACCCCCTCGTGTGCCGTGTCCGGTGTCATAGGTGCTACTCGCTAACAGCACTTGCTCCAACAGTCTGTTACAGGTTATACGGGGGATCTTGGTCTTTGGTGCTATTCAGAAATAAAACCAACATTTAGGGCTCCAAGAAGCTCAAGGGGCACCGATTTCATTAAAAATATAAAGGGTGTAACCAAATATTTATAAAAAAAAAATAGATAATCACTTTAATATAGTTACTGCTGGCAAGCAATGATTTCATTGTAATGAGTCGATTAGCCCAATTATTTCACACAATCGTGATAGAATTCAGCTGCGTAGATTGTCCGGCGTTTCATGTTTGTGGTCGCGTGCCGCAGCCAAAAACACCTCGTGCCAAAGGCCCCTCGATGCGCTGATACCACCAGCGCACGCGCGTGGACGCAATCAAAATACTCGTGGCGCTCACGAAACTCGCCAAGTGTTCTCACAGACGCTGGTCCGGCTTCCAAAGTGGTTCGTGCCGTCCGTCTATAAACACGCTCGGATCAAGCGATGAACTCACAGCGGGCACCAACACTGCATTCACGAGTGTACGCACTGTCGTTTCTTATGCCCCACGATGCGCGCATCGGATTGCCCCTGTGAGAATCCGTGATGTAGAAGTTACGAACGTTTTGTATGCTATCGTTACATGTAGGGTAATGGAAGTGGTCAAGGCTGGTGCAAATGAGCCGGGACATTTTTGGGTACAAATGAGTTGGCGAAAATGACACCAAACAAGAAATAATGGATCCTCGATAGTCAATCACTTTCACCGAAATGCGACAAATTCATAACAATGGCTGTGCGGAGTGCGTTGACGCACACCTGCTAATTGGCCGAGGGAACTCTGACTTAATTGTGACGATTCTTCGACTCCTCATTAATTTTCCACGTGCAGTAATTCATGTATCTGTCTGTGCAGGGTTGATTTCCTTGTAATTTTAATGTTAAAGGTTTTGACTGGGATTGTGTTGCAAAGCGCTGTGAGGCCTTGTAAATATAAATGTGTCGTTAACCCTCTACCACCCGACACAACAAATTTTTAAGGTTTGTCAAGTAAACAATTAGTTGCTACTTTAGCACACCGGAGTGTTGGAGATAAAATCCCCAACATTTACAATTTGAGTACGACATTTCACTGGTAATTACATCCAGCATCATCGGGCCCTTTTTGGCAAAAACTTCATCTACTGCGAACAATATTGGTCGCGCAAGCCTACGTACCAAACTGAGTTTTACTTAAATTTCGAATTAAAGCTTTCGTGACTGCAGGGATTCATCTTCTTGGTTCTTTCGGTAAAGTCACGTAGAAGGGAAATAATAAAATAATAAAAATAAAACATAATAAAATAATAAAATAATATAATAATTTTTTTTTATGTTTTCTTTTTATTATTTTATTACTTCCCTTCTACGTGACTTTACCGAAAGAACCAAGAAGATGAGTTCTACTTACTTACTCACGACTAGGCAGGCGCTGCAGGTGATCCGAGGCGCGTACCTTCGGGGCAGCTGTCTCCGCTGCTGATGCTCAGCCGCTCGGCGTTGCCCTGCACGTACTGGTTGTAGAGTTTGATCCGCATGGCCCAGCTCAGCTCCGGCTGCCGCACCGTGTTCTTGAGTCTCCGTCGCGCGTTCGCGAACCAGTTGGACACCTGGCACCGGGCGCCAACCACGACGACGCAGCGTAAGCAGCGATCTTCGACGCGATGCGTGCCCTCCCCCCCCCCCCCCCCCCCTCAATCGTTACGGAACTGATATTTCTTCGGAGATTTAACAGCTCTATTTGGTCGATTTATTGCTGAATTTGTGCCCGTTTTCACATGCGCGTTGAACTTTTTTCGCACCGTACGTAGCCAACCGCGTGAATCGGAGGTGCGTCAATCGGGCCTCTCGCCCGAGGTGACATGGTTCACCGCTGTTACATGACTCTGTGAATCTGGCTCTAGATGCACATGCAAGATATGTAGTAGGCACAGAGATGGAGCGATGGCTGGCTGAACACCCAGGCACAATTCAATACGTAAATAAAATATAGGAAACACACAACAGATATGCAGACAAACCGAATGGATGGATTAGATACAATACTTAGGTGGATTACTGGGGAGGCTTTCATCCAGCAGTGGTTTGACCACGGCTGATGATAATTATTGATCATGGCAAGTTTGAAAACAAATTTCTTCAGAACTGCTTTTTGTGTTGAGTTTGTGGTGCTTGCCCCACACCTCCGCTTGGCACGGTTGGCTACGTACGATGCGAAATAAGTTCAACAAACATACACACGATGATCATGAACTAAAAACTATTTTTTATTTTACCAGGTAAGGGCCACTGAGCTTTTTCAGAAGCAACCTGGCTACAAATGATAGCTCAACAAAGTGGCTTATCACGTGGAAATGTATAGCAGCCGTATACGCTTAAACACGTGTTTCTAAATGTGAAGGGTGAAACTGAGGGACCCAGAGAAAAATCCATGCAACCGCGGGGAGAGAGACACACGCAATCTCCAAGTATACAGGGATCAGGGTCGAGATCAAACCCACGACCTCCTGTATACCAGGCACGGCAGATAACATCTCGCCACCGCCGAGATATTATCACGATGCGCCACTACCCAATGCCCCACCACCCGCTGGGATCACCTGAACGAGCGTCATGTGGGAGCCAAGGGCCAGCAGGATCTTCTCCGTCTTGGTGGGGTAGGGGTTGTGCCGGTGCTTGTAGAGCCAGTGCTTGAGGGGCCGAGCCATGTCCTGCAGCGCCTGCCGCTTGTGCCGGACTCGCAGCGCCCCGGCCCTCCGTCTGCACACAGCCAACGCGAGTCGACCGAAACGTCGGTTCGTCCACTCTGCACGCACGTGGGGCGGTGGCGGTGGCGCCGCCGCCACGGCGTAACGGCCGAGCACAGCCCAGAGGTCGGCAGTTTCATCTCCCGGCGCGGCAGTTGACACAATGGGGGCAAGTTCCTGAACTGTTTCCCGTTCCGACGGCATACGATACGTGCACATCATCAGACTTTCTTCCGATTCCGTTCCGATGACGTACGTTTACGTACGTGTACGTCATCAAAACGAACAGGAAGACAAACTAAAATAAAACAACTTTACCGGTACCGAGGCTCCCACAAGACCGCGCGGGAGGGCGTGCGGCACAGTTTGGCGCCAGCTATGATAGACCGCGGTCGTGTCATTACAGTTTTCTGCGGTTAGTACAACATCTTTATAAACAATGGTGCTATGCCTCTCTAAATAAAATTAACGCTGAGCCGCTTGTGCGTTCCGAGATTCAGCGGTAAGCGGGACACCCACCCTGCAAAATGCAGACGTCTTGGAACGGGAAAGGGTTAAATTCCCCATGACACCGCAGCCAGTCGATTGGTAGGTTGCGTTTTGGTGGAGTAAGGTGTGGGGCACTCCCACCTCTCCGACACGTCTGACCAGCGTGGAAGAAGAGACCAAATTCCAATGGAGGCCTTTCCACCAGCAGTTGCATGAACGCACATTTGCAGGGCTGCACCTTTGCGTGTAGCCCATGAGGAAGTGCTCGTCTGCCGGACGAGCACTTCCTCATGGGATGCGGGTCATCGGGGTTATTTGGCCATACGTCTCCAGGTTGGTCAGTGGGGGTTGGTGATGCCTGTCCATGATTCCCCACCCAAGTACTGTACTCGCCAGGCTCAAGCCTGCTGAGCTCAGGCCAAAAGCTCAAAGCGTTGGTGGTCCAGAGCCAGTGATGGGAATTCCACATTCCTTTAAAGTTTAAAGGGAGAAAATCTTTCCACAAGACAAAACAGTTAACATTCTTCTTGTGAAGCCGAGCTCACGAGGTGATGCTCATTTACATCGGTAACAATGAGTCTGAAGCAGAAATTCCACATTCCTATTGCATGGGCCAGGACAATCTAAAATTGTCCACTGTTAACATTAACCACTTGTAACACAAAACATGTAAAAAAAATCAACTTCAGAGGCATGATGAGATGCTCACCCCCATCTCGAATTTGAACGCTAAAACTTTATGGATTCACTTGAGTTCTGTTATTTGTCTCTTTTTACACTTTACACTCCACTATGCACGGGAAACAACACATGCTGCTTTATCATGTCAAAGCATTAATATAGCCAATGAGGCCAGATAACACTGTGGCTAAAAGGAATTCACTCACGGTCCTGGGTAGATGCAATCATAGCAATAGATAGATTTAATAAAATGAGAAAACTTTTTGGGATATGCTGTGGAAATACTGGGTACTGCCATGGAAATGTGGAATTTCCACATCTGGCTCAGGGTTGCCGATGCAAATGAGCACTACCACAAGGGATACACTTTTAAATTTCCTTTCATATGACCCAAAGCCATCTTTATACGACCTGCTAAAATACCAGGCAACGTAATTGGCAGCAAGTCACACGTAATTACATAATTACATAAAATAACTTTTTTCATTTCTACTTTACAGTTAGTTTTTGTGATTCGGGTCAGTTATGCATTTAGGGGCGTATCAAAACATGTAAGCCTTGTTATAGCAGCAGTATGAGCATTTATACATGTCACGCATGGTTAAGCGCGCACAATAACGTTGTGTTGATTCGATTTTCTATAATCTTTTCATTACCTACGTTTCAAGGACCGTGCGGTTGTAAACACGTCTAGCCATAATTATCTTTTATTTTAAAATAACACTACGTCTAAAGTGTCTACAATGAGCCACGTTATTTCGCGAGGCGAAACTCTGCAGCCTGTTTAAAATGCGCTTTGGTTAGGGAAAAAAAATGCAAGAGTGAACCCCGTTATGCATTAGCACAGGCATTTATTCAAGCGCCACGTCTGATAAAAGCCATTGCTAAGATTATGTGAGAATGACTCAATAACCGGAGTCACAATGAGCAAATCTGTTCTGCTCACTTCTTTGCTTCAGGAAATGTTTTTTGAAAGTAATACTCTCCAGTAAAATAACAAAAAAAAAATTGCGTGACCACAAATGTGACAGCCGTAGTTTAAAATTAATCAATTTGACTTATTTATTTTATGTTTTAATTACGTGGAAGAGCACGACAATGTGTCTTTCTGCTCAAAACCCTGTGTTCGGGTGGTGTTTGCCTTGCTGAGGCAAGACTTTGCCACTCGAAAATTGACCGCACGCAGTTCTTTTTGATGATTTTGTTTTTGAAGAATGTTTGTTCTGTAGCCAGGTTTCTGTAACCAGGTTCCCATCGAATATGCACATTTATTGCCCGATCGGTTTTACCTGAGCCAACAATGACCCTAAACATAGGGGGGCACTCATCCTAAGCCAGTGGTGGAAATTCTACATTTCAATGACACAGGTCAGCGTTGACCTCCCGCACAATGGCATTCACTCTCTTGGCCTGACGGATATTAGTATGGGCCGAGTAGATTCACCTTAGGGAGTTGAACTTATGACCTTCAGACCACGCGTTGAGAGCCATAGCGCCACCCGGCCACAATCAGTGACCATACATCGAGCGACGAAATAACGGTGCCTTCACGTATCGTCGTGATTCTGAACAGCGCATCCCATTAACTTCAGCCCTGGTGTTCGGCTCGGAGTCCTGACTCGAGGCTATAGCTCATTGTTTCCAGGAGAGCTTTTTTGGGAGCCATTCTGGAACTGTGCTGAGCCAGACAGCCCGAGTCTTCACGGCAGTCGACTCCGTTCGTCGCGCTCAACGCGCAAACTTGGCAGGTGCCGCTCGCTTCGCTTAACCGCCCGGTCACTGCCACCGCTCTCCAAACTACGACCGCGACTGCAAAACTCGCTCTCTCGCGCTCTCTGCCCTTACCCTGGCTGCTGCTGCTGCTTGTCGCGGGCGTGAGCGCTGCGCACATCCCACGAGGCCACGTCGGGCCTCAGCGCCGGGTAGCGGGGGAAGGGCTCCGGGTAGAGCCGCGGCTCGGCTCCTGGGGGGGCCGCCACCGCCGCGTGGCTCAGGGGCAAGAGGCGCTCCCCAACGCCGCCGACGCCTCCGCAGCAGCCCTCCCCGCAGGGCTCCATCAGGGGCGCCATCGCGCCGCGTCTCGCCGCCTCCATGGCCCGAGCTGCCTCTGCCCAGCCGCGGGGTCGCGTGGCCGCCTCGCGCAGGGCTACGGCAACCTTCCAGTGCACACAGAGACGGCGGCGGCGGCGTCATTTGATTTGCTCGAGAGAGTCGCATCACACGGAGAGCTGCTTGTGCACGGACGCAGCGGCGGGTACACAGCAGATGACAACACAGAGTCTGACTCGTCAAGTCAGAATTATGAAGTCTGAATGTGATGGATTAAACTGCGTCTATTTAACCTCCCCCCCCCCCCCCCACTAGTTATTCTTTAACAATAGTTTGAGTGGAGGGACACAGATCGGTGTTGTTGCCGTGTCCTCGGTTATGGAAACATTGAAACTTTTCACCAAAAATCAGGCCAAAAACGAAATGTTTTCAGTACATTAATTGAGCACGTTTTAAAAAAAAATCTCTTTTATCGGGTCACAGCCCAATTATATTTGCCCAGTGATACAACTTTTTGTATTCATTCTATGGAGATAAATGCTTCTGTCATGGAATGAGGAATGTCCACCACTGGCTTGAAGCGCCAGTGAAGATGAGCCCTTTCGCATTGCTCATTGGAGCAGGGAGAGACGTTTTCTTTTTGACTTCACGATTAGATTTAGTTAAGTGGACGGTGACAACTGCACACAATGGGAGATTCTTGTAAATTCTATCAAATGTCTTCATCATCCATGCGACAAGATTTCCACACTTACGAATAATTCACACGTTGCAAAATTATCACAGGCTACTCGGAAGAAAGGTATTTCCAGCATGTGTATTTTCCTCCAGTATAAATACATATTTTGATTCTGTATATTTGAAACTCATTTGTATACCTTTCAATGCCACTCATGGCTATAAGGGACATGCTCTTAAAGTGTGGAACATTCTCACTTCAGTACATTACTCAACATTTTATATTTTGACATTCATTTGTTGTTATATATAAGCGACAGTAAACAATATTAATGTATAGTATATACAACGACTCCATATGCATGAAGTGTAGATACAATACAAATAAGGCTCATTTCCTGAAATGTTACTGATCACATATATGTGTTTCCTATGGAGCGTTGGTGTTAACAAATGCTCGTACTCCTACAGTCTTCGCAGCTTTATATATAAAAAGGTTTAAATATAAATAGTGCATTTACACACTTACATGTGACATCCCATATGCCTACACAGGCAGCACACTATAATATAAAAAAAACTGAATGTTATTGTTGAAAATATATGCCTGGTTTATTTCAGTGTACTGTAATATATTATATGCACAGTAGCTTAAGAAAAGCCACAGTGTATGTTTTCAATGTTGTGGTATTCCGTGCTAAAATTATGATTGTAATCCTCTGTTCACTAAAATATATCAACACTGGTATGAATAAAACATACTCGTTAGAATATACGGCCCCGTGCATGTGTTGGCAAATTTACTTTGTGTCCAAATAGGAGCTCAGCATGTCACCATTATTTTCAAGAAATGTTTAATGTTTTCTTGAAATTAAACACCGTCTGTAACTGTGGAGCAAATCGACTGCATGTGGAGCGAAACATCGGACATCCCGCAAAACAACGTGCGGTACAACCCGAAACACGTCGGAGTAGAGCATAACATTAATGCAGTGAAATGTACAGATATTAACAGATTTCACTGGTTTGAGAACAGGACTCTATAAACCGAATAACACACTCGCACAACTCGAGAAAACAAATTAAACCTCGAGCTGTAGGAGCACGCAGAGAACGCCTTAATGTTCATGGCAGCACAGGGTTAGCGCCTTGGAAGTGAGGAATAGAAAGTGGCAGGAAGCGAGTGTTGGTTTAATCGTGAAGAGGACATTGAGCCGGTGGGTGGAGTGCGTACAGGGATTGGAGCGGGGCAGGTGAGGAGACAGCGGCCATTGAAAAAGTGGCACACACACAAAAGAAGGGCACACACAGACAGAAGCAGTGGCTAATAGAAGACGTGGCACACAAGCAGTGGCACACACACAGAAGTAGTGGCACACACACAGAAGAAGGGGCACACACAGACAGAAGAAGTGGCACAGACACAGAAGTAGCACACATCGACAAAAGGAGTGGCACACACAAAAGTAGTGGCACACACACAGAAGCAGTGGCACACACACAGAAGTAGTGGCACACACACAGAAGCAGTGGCACACACACAGAAGACGTGGCACACACAGAATAAGTAGCACACACAAAAGTAGTGGCACACACACAGAAGCAGTGGCACACACAGAAGCAGTGGCACACAAACAGAAGAGGTAGTGCACGCACAGAAGCCAGAGGCACACACACAGAAGACGTGGCACACACAGAAGCAGTGGCACACACACAGAAGCAGTGGCACACACACAGAAGAGGTAGTGCACGCACAGAAGCCAGAGGCTTGGAATTGATGGTTTTACTCTCCCACGCATAACATTGACCTTTACTTGTTGTGAAGGTGAAACGAAACCACGTGTGAGAGGCGCGATCGTGTGGCTATAGTCAGCGATTGAATTAGATTTTCACTCTTCGGGCAAAAAGCGTGCAATTTCAGTGCTGGCAATGTTGAGTTTGGATATGTTAAGCGATGTCTTAAAAGGTTAACTTTGATTGGGATTTAATCGCCCAATAATCACAGCATTTGGATATTCACGGTGACATATATAGCTAGCATATACATATTTAAACAAGCTCGTGCCTTATTAAACTTCTAAGTAAAGATGTACAGCACATATTTTTTTTTCGACGAGACATATGCTTATAATTTATATTAATAGTGATTAAATATATTGATAGGTTTACAGTCATATGCTGTATAAATATATTGTAATAATCGACATTCACAATCTCATTTGAAAAGAGTTCCGGGTGATATTTCAATATGTAGCTGTGGGTGATTTTGACATTTGATGTTTTTTTCTGAGAATGATAATGTACATTATAAAGCAGTATAATCATGAAAAAATGCACTAGTACAGTACTTGTAATGTTATTGGATTCATATAAATCGGATATATTAATGTCCCGACATAAAAGCACATTTTAGTTTTTTTATATTACAAGCACGTATAAATAATAACAAGCACCTTCTTGGTTCTTTCGGTAAAGTCTACGTGACTTTACCGAAAGAAACAAGAAGATGAATCCCTGCAGTCACGAAAGCTTTAAATCGAAATTTAATAACAAGCACGTTTAAATAATAACAACAGTCAACCATTGATATCCCCACTCAGCCGAGCCGCCTTCATCTTCATTGTCAACCCCATGCAAAGCAGTGGAAATTCCACATTCCCACGGCGAGGCTACTCAATCAATCACAAGACAGTCACTTATTGACTTCCCACAAAGTGGTACTTATTTTTTTTATTAACCCCGGATGGACGATGGGCTGGATCGCCACTCAAACATCATGATTATCATTATCTACACCCTATAGGAACGTATTGTAATGTTTACTATCGTGTGATGACTACATCTACACGTGGACGTACACCCTGAATAGCCTGCACAAGACTACATATGGGGGGATGGAGTGCTTCACCAACCCGGAACTCGCCATCGTGGTGAAGTATGGTCAAACAATTGCCCAAATGCACGAGGGAACCATTCATCTCGCACTTAATTGATGAAGGCGCTGTACATTACATTCATCATCATCATCGTCCATGGTCAATCCACTGCTGATTGAAGGCCTCCCCACACCGCCGCCACCTCTCCACTATCCCGCGATGTGATAATACCGCAATAATGATACACAAATTGAAACAAGCAACACGCGCACACACACTGAATGTAGTCTCAGTCTACATGTAGTATCCGTGACCCCATCAGACACTACAACAACAGCAGCAGCAGCAGCAGCACATAGCTGCTGCATACCCAAGCGGCAGGGCTCGCTTGTCTTGGCAAGCCAGAGTAAGCGAACGCTTTCGCGACAGAGAATCGCGAGAGCACGGAGAGAGCCCTCGTCGCAAACAAGGAGAGCAACAAGCGGCGGCCCTGTTCGTTCTCGCGATAGACGCGATAGACGCGCGCCTCGCACGCGCACGAGGCAGCCCCTTGGCGCTGCGTGCCTCGACTCGCCGCGTCTCTCCCCGCGAGCACAACGCGAGCCCTTGGCACTCACGACTCGTCGAGAGCGTCTGCGGCGGTTGCGAGCGCGCTCCCGAGGTATGCGACGCAGCGAGCAACGAGACGCGCGCGTAGGGGGGTGGGGGGAGTCGTGGTGGTGGATGGGCAAGTGATCTCGTGCGGCCACGGCGAACGCCTCTTGTGACGGCGTGAGTTGCGCGTGTGCCGCGCGTGCCTACTTGACACGAGTGCACGGCTGTGGAAGCGATCTGAGAACGCGTCTGAGAAAAAGACCCGTCCCGGTGGGAGATGGAGCGATGAAATCGGCACGGGTGGAGGAGAAGACCATGGCTGATGATGATTACGATCTGGCAGAATTGATGTGTCATGGATTTTATTTTGGATTCGTAGCGCGCAGTGCCGAGGGCAGGGCGCTGTGAAGCCGGCTGCCCGAGTTCGATTCCCGGGCACGGCAAGCGACACGGACCGCTCCTGCATTAACCAGCCTGAACAGCCCCCACTACCACCGACTCAAGCGTGGGAAAGCTGGAAAATATTATTATTATACATCTTGTTTGCAGCGTCATTTAGAGTCGTAATGGACTTGTGTAAACTGTACACCATTTCTAAATTTAATTGTGCACGTTCTGTAACGAACGCGGGGCATTATTTATTTCTGTTGGCTGCCAGTGATGGACATTACACATTCCTGTGGCGGGTTGTCTTCAACTTCGGAATTCCATCTTTGCCACCTGCGAACAATAGCCCACTGTTGCGTATAATAGCGGGGCATTTAACGTGCGCTTAGCTGGAACATGGTACTTTGTTAAGTGACCATGCACAGCTCCGTAGAGGCAGTGAAGACCGTAACATCGACTTTGCACTTTAAACGGCACGCCTTGCTCTACATGAATTTTCACCACCGCAAGTTCAGCTGCATTCATATTCAAGCCCACGCGAAAAGCGGATTCCGGTAATTGGAGGTTAAACCCCAACCCGCCTATCGAGTTACAATGCGGATTCATTTTTTTACGACACGTTCACCTGCAATGGACACTCTAAAACCTGTTGCTACGAGCGCAGCTTTAATAACTACCAATAATTTATTAAAATAACATGAATAATGATGATCCACTTCTTAGCCCAACACCTTCATTGATGTTGAAGCACCGCGAGAGTTCAAGGCGCTATATAGAAGCTGTACTTGTTAAGAGTGTTTTGCTGGAACTCTGTCAATCCACCGGTGGACGAAGACCGCCTCGCCAGGCCGTGTGGCTGTCAAGCGGTTTGTTTGGCCATACTTCACCACTCTGGTCTATGAGCGTTAGCCGTGGCCGGAGGAATTGAGCTCAGATCGTTAAGATTCTTAGCGCGCCGGGCGAGCTAAACAAGTCGCCACCAACACGCACGATCTCATGTCGCGGTGCCCCTCGGCGTAACTCACTCCGCAACAGAAGCTCAAAGTAATCGCTCACTCAGAACAGCAATCGGGATTGCAGCTCATCGTCGTAGTCATCGCTCGAGTCCTCCGGGGCAAGCGCCCAGCGAGCTGGTGAAGCTGCGTGTCACCCGCTGGGTGGGACATCACCAGTGGTCGTCACGCGGGCACATCAAGAGGGCACTCGCTTGCCATGGGAATGTGGAATGTTGACCCACTGGCTCGGGACAATCAACGGAAGTGATCAACACTCCACCGCACATTCTACAGCGGACGACGTAACGTTTGGCTAACGTCAGTGGTTACCAACGTATTACTATTAGTATTGGTCCGTGTACAAAGAATACGTTTTCAAATAATCTTAACAGATAATGACATGACGCAATTGGTCTTTCACCTTGACTGCGTATATGGAAACACTGTGTGTACGTATAGTACAAACAGACATATGTATAATAATACGGAAAGAATACATATCTATGTACGCTCTGTAACTTATGACAACGACTTCACGATGTCCAACCTCTCCAGTAATATTGTGTAAACAATTAATTCGTGGATTATTTATCATGAAGGTACACACACCTGTACTCAATTAACAGGACGGGAGCTTATTTGGTCAGTACAGAGGATACATTTATTTTGACAGCACGATATATTTAAATATATCCACGTGTTTGATGTTAATTATTCCAACGATAAGTGTCCGTGTACCAATTTTAAACAAATCCCACGGTTGATGCCGTGATAACTATGCCCATACGAACACAATGACATAACAGCATGGAATGCACATATATACACACACACAGATTTTCCTGGTACAAACACGACTCATATTTACACAGAGAAATAGCAGCCCTAACGTGCATAGCGAATCTCAATTGGCCCTTAATACTCAAAAATAAGGGTACTGCATAATGTACTTCAATAAGTCTAATCAAGTTAGCACACGGATACTTTGATATACATAACTGTAAATGGATATGTCTCGAAGGGTAAATACATGCTTAGTATTAATGAGTATTTGTGTACAAATACGTGCCAATTGCGTGGATAGGCAAATGCACTGAGCAAGTATCTGAATAATAAAGATAAATCATGGACACTACACGCGTGAGTGTATTGTTTACATATATACACACGCAGAAATATGCGTTATTGACACGTATAAAGTATGCAATGGTGTAGTTGAGTACATAGATGTATATCACTGAATACGAGTGGTTAAAGTCGGCGAAAACAGCAAAGCAGAGATTCATCAGCATAACCACACACACACACCTCATTACACTTACTACACACGCATGCATATACATACCCTTCAATGTCGCTGATACATTCCTAATGCCTGAATGATAACATCGTTGGTATCTTAACAGCGACGAAAGGACTACAACTGCTCTTTGACGGAAATTAACAACCAAATAGTCGCCTTCCTATTAAACACTGGGCGCCGTCATGCGCACGTGTAATTTACGAATCATGCTCCAGTGGCCGTCAAACACAAACGAACGCCGAGCCACTGGTCGCGTGCTGAGTCAAGGCACACTGACACGTGACGCTTCACAACACGCGCGGTCTCGTGCACGTGTCGCACCTGTGCACAGCCCCGCAGTGCAGCCGACGATGCATCCCCAGCAAGGTGACAACGCGCACGCGGTCAGCTCACCTGTCGCGCGTCGTCCGCCGTGTTCCTCCTCCTTCTCGCTCTGAGCGCCGTCTCCGCCAAAGTGCGCGTCGAAGAGCGCGCGCCGTGAGTGCCACGCACGGGCAGAGCGAGCGCCGTGGGGACCACGCACGGGCACACGTGGTGCCCGGAGAGAGCTGCCCGCCCTCTCGTCTGTTACACGCCGCGGTGCTGAGCGCGCGGTGGTTCCTCGCCGCGCGTCACGGGGGCTTCCTCCTCCTCCTGCTGCTGCTGCTGCGTGTTCTGAGCTCTGTCTGCCCAGCGCACGAAACATCACCGAGCTGCGCAAAGCATCTTTGGGGCTACCGACTTAGCACCACCACCACCCCCACCGCCACCCACCCCCAAAACCCCACCAAACTCCTTCACCCAACCCCACCTCCTGAACATCATCGCCGCCGCCACTGCACACGCATTCACGCAGATGCACGCCCCACATTTTCGCAAGCTTACACACGCATCTCTCTCTGCGTTTGAGATTGCAGATCTCCGCGCTTACATCAACCGCCGCCTTCCAGCCATGCGGATATCTCCTCCGTAACATCACTCACAGAGCGATCGACTGACACACTCGCGCACAGATTACCCCCGTAGCGTTATAACCCTGGAAAGTGATGTTAGCGAGTACTTACAAGCACGTGCGTACGTGCGTAGCATAGTTCTGAGTCAACGGCCCCACGTGTTCGCAAGCTCTTACACGCACGTCTCGAATGCAGGCTGCACCACACGCTCATCAACCAGCCTCGTCGACATCATTACCAACGTTTATCTGGAATGTTCGCGCAGCTGTAACCATCGGGGCAAGCACAGTTCTGTTCGCGAGCACCTGCTTCGATTCGTGAATGCGCATGTAGGGGGGCCGCGTGACCAGCACAAGTCACGCCCGGCCGACTTTTCTCTCTCCATTGATGATGTGGTCTTTACACACCGCGTGGTGTAAAGCTTGCGTGGACAGATCACCACTTGACACTGGTGATGTTCACAGTGCGGTGGGCGAACGCATTCCAACGCGCACCAGCAAAGATTGCTCCCGCTTTAGCCACACAGACTGCAAGAACGAGTTGTGTTTTGCGTGTTTAGTTTGTTGTCCTTCTCCGCACCTCGTATTAGCACGGCTGGCTACGTACGGTGCGAAAGAAGTTCAACATCCATCCATGTTAGTGATCACCGGTTCACACGTATGACACACACACAACACACCAAACAATTCACCTTTTCTTGTATGAAGTCAACGAGTTATCTGAGCAGTCTCCTCGGCACACACCACCCTCTCGCTTCAACTTGCGCTACAGACAGGCAACCACTGTCAGTTCAGCTTCACCAGCAGTCGCCGATCAGAATTTCAATTAAATTATAGCCCCGTGCGTTACATGACACGTAGCAATGGAGGCGGAGGGGGGGGGGTGTCCATTACATCAAAAAATAGCTCCCTGTCACTCACTAACACTGAGCATTTACAATTTATAACGGACAAATCGTGATAATCATTCGGCAATCTCCATGCATATGCCGCTACTGCGACAGTCAGTTAGATTTATTAATTGCATGTAGGCAATTGATACGTGCATGTGATGATGTACATTTGATGTATTTTAATCATGAAAAACTGTGTACACATGGAAAATGGTTTTATGTGAATCGTATGGTAATTCAGTATTGTTCATATTTCAAGTTGTGATCTCCCAGCATTTTCAAGACCAAAGTGCCGCTCTCCAACCGCTGCATGAGTCAATCTGTGTGTCCTCTCTCTGCTCTGAAGAAGGGACGTGGACCGAAACGTCACCTTTTGAACAGAATTGTTGTTGTTGCGGAGGCGGTGAGTATTCTCTTTGTGCTGAACATATACCACGTGTTGTTGTTGTTGGTAATACATTCTAAGTGATCACGCAAGTAAACAAACACAACTAAGAACTCACGATTACGGTATACAAATCACAAGTGGCGTTTTCAACGGATATTGTATAAGAGACGTAATATTACCAAGACTATGAATATATACACTAACCTAGCAGTTTTACATCTATAACGCGACGTGTTGGATCCTAGATAATATTTATTTTTAAAATATATAATAAAGTATAAATATTTAACATCGATAACAGTCACGCGCAATAATTGCTCGCAACTTGGATACAGAACTCAACGGCTTCTAGTGCAACACTGCAACTTAGATAATCGCATTAATCGTGAGTTATATCACCGTGAAATGCGGGTGTACGATTTGCCCGTTATTTGTATCGAGTAATCTGTGTTTCGCGATCTTCAGTGACGAGTCCACGTGCTCCCCTGCGCGTTATGAACGCGGCCCCCCCTCCTGCCCAGCGGATTGCGCGACACGTGCTGCCGTTGTAGAGCCCCCCGCTCGAGAACCTGGGCCAACGGTGGAAATTCCACATTGCCGTGACGGGAGGCCAGGCCGTCCTCCAGGGCGACCGCTTTTAACGACACGTGTGAAGTGTCGTTACGTGTTTTGTCGACCACGCACGGGATAATGGGCTGGGTTTGGCCCGATGCCTGCATTTGACATTTTGATTGTGATATTTACACGACATAACTGGGTACACGAACGCGTTACTTTGACGTTGATAATTCTATATATATGAAAAGTTATTTGATCAAATATAACACAGTGAGCACTAAACCGACTGTCGAATTGTTAGTGAACGGAGATAAATGGATTGATTGTACATACATAACCGTGCAAGATAGCTTCCCTATGTATCTTCACCCTACATGCATGCTGCAATATCACACGCAATGCATACATCGTTTGTGCATTCTGCTACGTTTAGAAATGCATTTCTATACCACTGGCGAATTAAATATATTTTAAAATAGTTATTTACGTGTGTATATTTTATACAGACGTTGTTTTAGTTAAAGATATCACTTTAATGACTCAATGACTGATAACAATTTTACCTTCCGAGTAAATAAGAATATCAACAGACATGCGGATTCATTCACACGAGACAGACCCCTGTAGAGCCAGCTGTACTGTTGGGACTGTTAGCAGGAGGGGTTGGGGTGGTTAGCACCACGCCCGGCCGCCTTTGTCTCCCCATTGCTGATCTTTACACACCACACCGGGTGTTCATTTAAGGCTGGGGTCGATCTCAAAGAAGCCCATGGTCTTGGAGAAGGCCATGATCTTGGAGAGGTCCATGATCGGTTCATATTCATCACTGATGTTGGTCGAGAACGGGAATCCAACTCGGATGGTCTGGTTCGTTGGGCAGTGCACGCTAACCACTGCACCACCGCTCCCCGCTACAACACACATGCACACATACCGTTATACGCACACACACACACGCGTGTGCCTGTACTGTAGGTCTACGTTTATACACGTACCGTGTTGCTCGTTGGTTTATGGCAAGCCGTCATGTGCATCCACTTTGTTCTGAAGGTTTAATTTGTAATTGCATTATTCATCGTACGGTGCTCATATAAACGTAGCAACGCCTCCATGCACGCTTAGCACATTCTCCGAATTATAAGACGCCCCGGAAAGTAAGACGCACCCCGAAACGTTATGCCCAGTGTCAGTAAACTGAGACAAACCTCACCACAAACACGCACAGACTCTCAGCGCGTTAGAACAACACACGACCATTAATACAGCAGGGACATGCGCCTTATAATCAGGATAAAGCAGGGATCATATACTGTACCGTAACCAAATCGTAATTGAACGTTTTACGTACACATTCTCGTTACTTTGCAAAATAAAGCAACAGTAAAACTAGGGAGTCGAATGATGGTAATGTCTATGTACATATATGAACGCACGTGTATATATACACGCATATCAGCATTGGTGGAATTCACTGATAATTGATTATCTGTACACTCTACACAGCATATATATAGCCGGTATACGACGGTATTAAATAGGGCACTTCTCAGAACACGTGTACACGGTACTTACCATTGACGGTACAGATGTCCTACTCTGCTAAGTGTTTCCGCAGAGGAGACGAAGCAGGGAGAGTGAGTGTGTGGTGAGGGTGAGTGAGTGTGTGTGGTGAGGGTGAGTGAGTGAGTTTGGTGAGTGTGAGTGAGTGTGTGTGCTGAGGGTGAGTGTGTGTGGTGAGTGTAAGTGAGTGTATGTGGTGAGGGTGAATGAGTGTGTGGTGAGTGAGAGTGAGTGTGTGTGGTGAGTGTGAGTGAGTATGTGTGGTGAGTGTGAGTGAGTGTGTGTGGTGAGGATGTGGGGAGCGGTAGTGTAGCGGTTAGCGCGCTGCGCTATGAACCTGGCGGCCCGGGTTCGATTCCCGCTCACGGCCAACACCAATGATGATTATCTGAACCGGTCCTGGACCTCCCCTAGGTCGACTCAGCCTGAAATGAGTACCTGGTGCGGTGTGTAAACATCGCTACTGGGGAGACAAAAGCGGTCGGGCGTGGTGCTGGCCACCCACCCCCTCGTGTACCGTGCTGGCCTTCATAGGTGCTCGCTAACAGCACTTGCCCCTACAGTCTGTTAAGGCTATACGGGGGATCTTTATCTTTTATCTTTGTGGTGAGAATGAGTGTCAGTCCTGGGAGCGGTGTGCGCGCACTTCACAACGAACTCGGCCACACGCGAGTTCGATTCCCGCTCGCCACGGGAATATTTTAACCGCTCTGGGGGTCCCTCCCGTGCCTACGTCCGCTCAGCCTTTGCACTCCGATCACCACTGTCGGCTTACTCGCGGTGCGAACGATGTTCAACATTGACGCGCACGTCGGCAATTGCGAGACGAAGCGGCCAGGCTCGGTTACCGACCACGCAGACAAATCTTGTGCAGTGCCTGCATCTCAATAGGTGCTCGCTAACGACGCTTGCCCCGACCGCTTACAACACAGGTTTCATACCGTCACGCCGACATTCGCACGTGTCCCCCCGCTGCGTACCAGCCCACACACACACTGAGCACGTGTGACGCATTCATTTATACTCACAAGCGCCGTACGGTTTAGGTTTGTGCCCGAGCATCATGAACACAATAAGCCATTAAAGTTGAATTGTTATTTCCTCAATACAGCGAAAAAAAAACGTGGAAAAATTAGTGTTTTTTTTTTAATTGCCAAAATG